CATCATCATCATCATCATCATCATCATCATCATCATCATCATCATCATCATCAATCTCAAAAGCTTCAAAATAATATGCAGTTGAAATTTAGTGATTACTTGCAAGCAGTGCTGAGTTATTTAAAAAAAACGTTGGGTAGGTCCTCTGAACAGGTTCTTGTTTGGAAACTCAACTTTTGTTGGTCTGGAGTGATGTCATCATGAATTCCATTTTATGCCTAAGCTTTACAAGGATGCTAAATATTATATGAAGGGATTTTATGGGGTTACAGCAGCCAGCAGGGAAATATGTCCAATTTTAAGGAGTTTATAAGGGTTATAAGACAAAGGATTGTTTCTGAAGACATCTGTTAGAAAATCTCAATATATGGGAGGATTATCTGATGTTATTTTGACAAATATTTGTGCTTATTTGGACTTTTTGCATAAATTACTCACAAGACACAATTTTTTTTCATAAAAAATACATTTCCTCTGTAAGTCAACATTGTTGCTGATGTGCATTATTTTGTGTGGAAATTGTATGTAGTCTTTGCAAATGATAACTGACAAGAAGCCAGTTTTGTATCACCCCATTGTAATCAAACTTAATGGATTATGTCCTCCTATACACATTAAACCCATTTTAAACCTAACATCAGATCACCCAGACTCTTTTTTTAAGGTTTTTTGCAGAAAAGTCAAGCTTTTAACTTTCTGATGGATGCGATTTGTGGTTTGGAGGACTGACCGGCTCTTCTTCAACAACCAAACTGGTTATTGTATCAGATTTTTCTTTTCACGGGTCAATGATGAAACAAAGTGCTGCAGACTTCCCTCTAAAGGAGYGCCAGGGATTAACAGCATACCTTGAGGAATTTTATAGCCTTTGTTAGATTCCTCAAACTTCAGCGTTGTTCTTGGTCATTGTTTCGTTTTTTAATTAGAAAAATCACAGAGTGGGCATTGCCTCCTTGTCTCCCCCTCATTGGTAGCAGTCCCTACTCATGAGTCGTTGTAACTCAGGGGCGGCAGGAGGGTTAAGTAAAGATGTTTGCAGAGAATAGGCTCAGTTAAATAAAGACATGCATCTTACCGATAGTTTGAATCTGAAAATCTGAGCTGCACAAAAGGAATTGTGTTGTCTTTGTGGAGTTGCATGACATTAATTATCTCTGTATGAGACAAAAAAAAAAAACATTTTTAAGTTTGTTGGGACCGATCCCCAACAAACTCTGATTAAAAACAAAACCATTTTTAAAAGACTCAACAAGTCTGTCATGGAGCTCTGTTGTGTTCACAGGAATTCTCTTTCTGCCTTTTATTCATTTACAATTTCATATTTTCCGCTCTGGGTAAAGGACAGTAGACAAGATAACATGTTGCTCAGTATCTGTTTGGCTTGTGAAAAAAGCTTTTAAGAAATGCAAACAGAAAACTCTTTCATTTGGAGGGGTGCCWGTTGTGAAAACGGCTGAAGGATGAGTCACTCAGATGTCTTTTTAGAGGAAATAAACAATGAAACAGTAATAAGGACATAAGGACATTAAAAGGTACACAATGGTCAAATTTCAGCAGTTTGTCTTTTATTTGACTCTGAAAAATCTGTTTTAATGTGCTTTTGTCCAAATATACTGTATGTCATGTTATTTTTAATCATTTGTATTTGTTTATACTATTAAGTACATAAAACATATTTTGTTAATAAACTGTTTCACTTGTGCTTCTAACTGAACGTGGCTGTGTTGTTTTTCTGGTTCTCAGAATTAAGCAATGCTTTAGAGTCACATGTGAGGGTCACCCTGAGGGGGGATAAACCTTTCCACCTGTCTTTGACTCTGGTCTCAGAAGACCTCCCTCAAAAGAGACATTTTATTTTCTTTAATAAACAAAATAAAAATGTTCTTCATATGTTGATTTATATTTTCTTTTAACTACAAGTTATTATCATTTTATAAATCAAAGTTACATAATGAAAAGAATGTCAATGTCAATTTTATTTATATAGCACATAAAACAACAAAAGTTAGCCAAAGTGCTTCACAGTTAAGCCAAATGAATAAAACAATTAAGCAACACATAAATGTAGACAGTAAAATCAATTTAAAATACAGAAAAACATYAACCCTTTCGTGCATGAATTATGATCAACTCAGTCAGGATTTTTTTACTAAGTGTTTTTATACATCCTCAGGGATGTAAAACAAGGTTTGAAAAAGTTTCTTTCTATCTTTAATTTTTAAAGAAATAATTATCTTTACACTCAAGTGTACTTCATGCGTTTTGTACTGTAAAAAACATAAATGTTATAACATGGTAATATATAGGTATAGTTGTAATTTAGT